CATGAATGTATAATCATAAGATTATACAAGAGGACTTCAGAAAGTTTGTGGAAAAATGGAATTAGGAGATAAAAATTTTGTTGTAGGCAATGACACCAGCTATTTAGTCTATCTGTGAAGAACTAAGGGTCCTGGGAATTTAACCATGTCAATGCAGTCTTTTTTGCATAATTAACTGAATAAAAATGGGTGACCTTTAAAGGTTTTTTTTAAGATTAAGAAACAAAAAGAGGTGCTGTAGAGGTGCTATATCACCATTGTTTCTTAAAGCTGAATAGTACTCCATGGTATACGTATACCACATATTAATCCACTCATGTATTGATGAGCACTTGGGTTGTTTCCACAACTTTGCAATTGTGAATTGCGCTGCTATAAACATTCGAATGCAGGTGTCCTTTTCATAAAGTGACTTTTGATCTTTTGGGTAGATGCCCAGTAGTAGAATTGCTGGATCAAATGGCATATCTACTTATATCACTTTAAGGTATCTCCATATTACTTTCCACAGAGGTTGAACTAGTTTGCAGTCCCACCAGCATGTAGGAGTGTTCCTATCTCTCCACATCCTCGCCAACATTTATTGTTTTAGGACTTGTTAATAGAGGCCGTTCTCACTAGAGATAAGTGATATCTCATTGCAGTTTTGATTTGCATTTCCCTGATGATTAGAGATGTTGAGCATTTTTTCATATTTTTGTTGGCCTTTATTCTGTCTTCTTTTGTGATATAGCACCTCTTGTATTTTCCTGGATAGAGCTAGAACCCATTCTACTAAGTGAAGTATCCAAGAATGGAAAAACCAGCACCACATGTACTCACCAACAAATTGCTATTAACGGATCAACACCTAAGTGGACATATAGGAATAACATTTATCTGGTGTCGGAGGGTGGTGGGGGTGGGTATATACAAACACAATGAGTGAGATGTGCAACGTTTGGGGGATGGTCACGCTTGAAGCTCTGACTTGAGGGGGGAGGGGACGCATGGGCAATATACGCAACCTTAACATTTGTACCCCCATAATATGCTGAAATTAAAAAAAAAAAAACATAAAGAAATGAGTTCAAAACCAAAAGAAACAAAAAGAAATCAGAAGGAGCCAAATCAGACTGTAATGTAGATGCCTCATGATTTCCCCTAGAATCCCTCATAAAATTGTCCTTGTTCAGTGGGAGGAATGAGCAGGAGCTTTGCCGTGCTGGAGCAGGACTGTCTGGTGAAGCTTTCTGCTGAAGCCTTGGCTAACTTTCTCAAAACACTCATAATAAGCAGATGTTATTGTTCTTTGACCTTCCAGAAAGTCAACATGCAAAATGCCCCGCACCTCCCCTAAAAACCTTTGAACAGTCTGCTTTTGCTTTAGGTAGCATTGCTTCGACTGCGCTTTGTCTTCAGGGTCGTGCTGGCAAAGCTGTGTTCCAGCTGCTGTTACAGTTCTTCAGAGAAATGCTTCAGGATCTTGATCCCACTTGTTTAAAATTTCCATTGAAAGCTCTGCTCTTGTCTGCAGCTGATTTGGGTGCAACAGTTTCGGCACCCATCGAGTGGAAAGTTTGCTCAATTTTTTTTTTCAGTCATAATTGTGCGGGCAGAACCAGTTGAGACGTCTGTAGTGTCGGCTGTTGTTTCTGCTGTTAATCCTCAGTCCTCTTCAATTAGGGCGTGAACAAGATTAATTTTTTCCTCCCAAACTGATGTGGCTGATCGTCTTCAACATCGTCTCGTAGCTTCTTAAAATGAGTTATACATTTGTAACCTGCTAATTTCTTTGGGGCAGTGTCCCCATAAAACTTTTCACAAAGCATCAGTGATTTCCTCTTGCTTCCACTCAAGCTTACTGTAAATTTGATGTTTGTTCATGCTATAATTTTAGCAGAATTCATGTTACTCTGATAGGGGCTCTTTTCAAACTGATGTCTTATCCTTCTTAGAGCCTCAAACTAGATCCTGTTCAGACATGTTATAACAAGTTAATACGAGTTTATTTTCATACAAAAAAAATTGAAATTCATGCATACTTTTTTCATAATATGCATTTTTCCATGAACTTTTTTTTTTTTTTTTTTTTTTTTTTGAGACAGAGTCTCGCTTTCTTGTCCAGGCTAGAGTGAGTGCCGTGGCGTCAGCCTAGCTCGCAGCAACCTCAAACTCCTGGGCTCGAGTGATCCTTCTACCTCAGCCTCCCGAGTAGCTGGGACTACAGGCATGCGCCACCATGCCCAGCTATTTTTATATATATATCAGTTGGCCAATTAATTCTTTTCTTTTAGTAGAGACGGGTCTCGCTCTTGCTCAGCTGGTTTTGAACTCCTGACCTTGAGCAATCCGCCCGCCTCGGCCTCCCAAGAGCTAGGATTACAGGCGTGAGCCACAGCGCCCGGCCTCCATGAACTTTTTGAAGTCCCCTTTTATTTCAGTTTACATTTTAAAGTATTTGGTCCCCAAAGTAAACATGGTATGTCATTTGATAATTCATTTGTCATGAATCATGCTTTCCTCTTACGTGATTTAAAGTAAATTGAATAACATGTATTACTTAATAAATGAGGAAAGGTTGGAAAATTATAATGCAATTTCTAATGATGGTGATTTTTCACACACCATGCAGAAGTGATAAAATTTTTACCAATATTCTTAATGGAGGTATAGGAAAGATTATTAATTGCTATGCAAAGTTAGTGAATCAAAAAATGTTGAACACCTTTACCTAGAGGATAAGGTTGCAATTCCTTTTCCCAATGTGCAAAACCCTTCATGGTCTGACCCCTTCCCCAGTCTCTTCTCATGTCCTCCCACCTCGAGGCATCATACGAGATGGGCATATTGGTTCATCTGATAGATCCTTGTGCATTAGTATGATTGGTATGCCCTTCCCTCTCTCCTACCTGGAAAGACAGATACATCTGTCAGGGTCCATATCACATATCACCTGTTCTACAGAACTGTCCAAGCAGAATTAATTACTTCTTCCTCCGTTCTCAGGTAGCTCTTATATTTTATTCTAATGGCTTGTCTCTATATTCCTTATTAAATGTGTCTGTCTTTACAATAGGGAGTTTTTATTCCTTGTAATCCCAACACAATGCAATTATCAAGCATTCAGGATAAATGTTGTAATAAATGCATAATGAATTGGTGGTTCCAATATTTTATTTTATTTATTTTTTTGAGACAGCGTCTCACTTTGTTGCCCAGGCTAGAGTGAGTGCCATGGCGGCAGCCTAGCTCACAGCAACCTCAAACTCCTGGGCTCAAGCGATTCTACTGCCTCCCAAGTAGCTGGGGCTACAGGCATGCGCCACCATGCCCAGCTGATTTTTTTCGTATATATTTAGTTGGCCAATTTCTTTCGTTTATAGTAGAGACAGGTCTCACTCTTCCTCAGGCTGGTTTTGAACTCCTGACCTTGAGCAATCCACCCGCCTTGGCCTCCCAGAGGCTAGGATTACAGGCTTGAGCCTCCTCGCCCGGCCAGTGGTTCCAATATTTTAAACATGATAATTTTTTAAATGCTTTAGATCACAACATCTGAAACCTTTAAAGTGACTATTAAGGAACCTTTTTTCTTTTTTTTTATTTTTATTTTTTTAAGACTTTGGCAAGCATTTTTGGGATGGAGATATGAGCTCTTCTGCGGCAGTGTTGTATTTTGTGACCAGCACTGACACATCCCACAGGGGTTTCTCAGACGTCCTGGCGATGTGGAGCTGTATGACATATCTGCGTCTGCTCCTGTGATCATTTTCCCCTGATCCCCTGAAGTTTTCTCTTGCACGGCTGTGCGTAGGGCTCACCCCACCCCCACCACTACTCTTAGACTCCTAAATGTTCCCCTCAGCCTAGAGGCACCTTGCCATTCTACCCCACACGTTCCTGCAGCAACTCTTCAGCCTCCCAGGACTCCACCCAGGTCGCTCATTTCTCCAGACTTCCCTTGAAGAGCCAGAGACCCTGAGCAGTCACAAGCACCCCTGTGTGGTGATGATCATAGCACCAAGTAAGAGATGATTCCCAGGAGGGCAGTGCTGCTCTCTGGAAGGCCATGCAAGTTGCCTTTCAGCTCTTTGCTGAAAGCTATCCCCTCCTAATCCCTAAAGCATTTTTCTTTTTCTTTTAAGACTGTTCAGGTAAACATTCTAAGAAATACAGGATTAGAGAACATCTTTCTGCTGAGACTGTTATATAGGTGATATAGCTGAGATGAGACATCAGCTGGGCATTTGGTTGGTTGGAAAGAAATGGAGGTGTAAATGAGCACTAGTGTAATGAAGAGACCCACCTGGAAGGAGCAGGTGTTTTTCGAGACTTTGTGGCAAAAAGACTAGATTGGTAAGGTCCGACCAGTGGAGGGACTTGGATAAGCAACAAGAGCTCTGGGTATTAATATCCAAGATTAAAATAAATGGAGAAATTGGAATCTATCCAGCTAGAATCCACAAAGTAATCTTTTCAAGTTCCTTCACAAGGATGCATTGCCTCTTAATTGTCACCAGTCCCGTTGGATATGTCTTCTGAGTTTGACTCTTATACCTTAGTAGCTCTACCATAACATTATTTGCTCACTTGCTCTATAATTGATTGTTATTTGTTCTACACTCACATGTATATGACTGACATAAGTGAAAATCTAGTGTAGGTTACTGGAAGGTAGAAATATAAGTGAAAAGTTTTGAAGTATCTTTAATTTTAAAAAATTATCCCATCTTTAAACATTTAGTGATAGGTTTGATGTAATTAAAATTTAATGTTTTAATATGCACAGAAAGTTGTCATAACTAGAATATGATTTGATAGGTGCTGGCAGTTCTCCAAGCAACCTGTTTTAGAAGCAGGTATTTCTACAGGAATAGACTTGTAGAAGTGTAAAGGTTTGATTAAAAATTCAGTTTAATGCTGGGGCTGCTTTAAGGTAATGTATATGTCTCTTAATAGTAGAAATGTGTTTACATTATGATTAGTATTGCAAAGTATATCTCTCTCTTTTTTCTTTCTAGATCCTGGTTAGATAATAACGGAAAAAGCGCTGTTAAAAAGTTGAAACATAGTTTGCCACTTAGAAAAGAACTAGATCGTTTAAAAGATGAACTGTCTCATCAATTGCAACTGTCAGATATCAGGTAATAAGAAGAGAGGACCTAATTTAGAGATTAAAATAAACATGAATTACTTGCCGGTAAACTCTCCAGCAGCTAAATATTTGCATCTTTAATTATTCTGAGAACTAAATATTCTTCAATTAGCTTTTTATGAACATAATCAGATGTTCATCTGTGTAAGAAAATTATTGATTTCTTCTTTTAAATATTGAAATAAAGTTTAAGTACTGACATTTTTGGCATAATAGTTGAACTTTTTTTCACAATGAGTTTGTAGGAAAAGTATCTCTTTCACTGGGTGCCGGTGAGATGGGGTGGGGGCAAACTCACAGCTGACGGAGGCAGAGCACACTGTGGGGAGGGCGCGCCTCCAGCCTGGCCCGGGAGAGCCGGAGGCATTACCGGTGGCCAAAATGTTTGGCCCCCATAATATTCTGAAATTTAAAAAAGAAAGAAAAATATCCTTTTCCATATACACATAATATATAAAAAATAATTATGGCCCATCATGTAAGATTGGAATTTGAGTTTAAAAGGAAGAGGGGACGAAAGAAAATAGTTGCTATATTCTTGGTTCTATGTTATATAGCACAACTTTTTAAATAAGTTTTCATAAACTTGGAAGTTGCAGTTATATAAAGATACATGCTGAAATTTGTTATGAAAATAGATTTAACAGCTCTTCAACCTGTAAGGAAGGGAAAAGGTGGGCATCAGGTGATTCTGTCATTGAGTTCCCCATTATTAGAACCCTGAAGAATTGTCAGCCAGTCTCATGCTCAAATATTTCTGGCACTTTTTGCTGTAGCCTGTCTTGTTTTCAACCCTCATTATCGGGTCTTTTTTCTTACATTGAACTGTTTAGATACCATTACAGCTCCTTTTATTCCTGTGCTTATGGAGTACAGATAGTATTTACATGAACTGTTCTTGTATATTCAAATCATCATTTTATAAGATAATTCACATTTCAAAGCAAAGCCTTTAGACTTGTAGTGTGTGGAATGTTTGTATTTATGCCTATAGCTGTTCTTTTACCATGACATCAATAGTTTTTTTTTTGTTTTTTTTGAGACAGAGTCTCTCTTTGGTGCCCAGGCTAGAGTGAGTGCCGTGGCGTCAGCCTAGCTCACAGCAACCTCAAACTCCTGGGCTCAAGCAATCCTTCTGCCTCAGCCTTCCGAGTAGCTGAAACTACAGGCATGTGCCACCATGCCCAGTTTATTTTTTCTATATATATTAGTTGACCAATTAATTTCTTTCTATTTATAGTAGAGACGGGATCTCACTCTTGATCAGGCTGGTTTTGAACTTCTGACCTCAAGCAATCCACCCGCCTCAGCCTCCCAGAGTGCTAGGATTACAGGTGTGAGCCACCTCGCCCGGCCTGAGAGCTGTTTTGAATGCCTAAGTCCTTCACATATATGATTTCATTTGATTTATTCTACCTAGGAAGTAGGAAATATTCTCACTTTGTATGTATGAAAGTGAAAACCTTAGAAAGGCTAAAAGCAGCTTGTCCCAGCTCTGTCTCACAGAGCTAGTAAATTGCAGAATAAGAATTCAAAGGTGGGCCAGGTGCCAGCTCACCCCTGTAATCTTAGCACTCTGAGATGCCGAGGTAGGAGGGATCACTTGAGGCCAGAAGCTTAAGACCAGCCTGAGCAAGAGCAAGACCCCGTCTCTACAAAAAGTAAGAAAAATTAGCCGGGCATAGTGGCATGTGCCTATAGTCCCAGCTACTCGGGAAGCCGAGGCAGGAGAATCACTTGAGCCAGGAGTTTGAGATTGCAGTGAGCTGTGGTGACACCCCTACACTCTAGCCAGCGCGACAGAAAAAAGAAAAGAAAGAATTCAAAGGTGGGTTTTCTGATGCAGCTTTCCAGATCACAACCAGTGTTCTTTACGTTTACACAGCAGAGCCTCTGTGACGTCATGTCAGTATCAGGTTCCATTAGTTTATAAAACAAACAAATTACATAATGTCATCAAATTCACTTTCTCTAGAATAAGATGAGAATCTGATGAACATAACTGGAATTCCTGATTGGAACTTAAATCTAAAACAAAATCCTCATTATACAATGTGGAGGAGAAAGATATATTTTCAAGGTTTTTCCCATTTCATCCTCTTATTTTAAAATAGAAACAACATAGTGTATTTGCTTATTTTAAATCTTTGGATACTTGAACATCATAGTAGTATTTTTACCTTCTGGTAAACCATTCATTTTCCATTTGATTGCTTCTTTAAAAATTAGCTAGCTTGAATACGGGTCAATTAAAACGTGTTGTATGGCTGCTTCAGAAACTCATTGGCTTTCCGGGGACTCAGACCGCCAGGTGAGTGCTTGCTCCTCCCTCGGGGTGCTGGCTGCTAACGCACTGTGTGCTCTTCGGCTTAGGTGGCAGAGGAGCTGGGGCATCGCCCATCGCTGTAGCCAGCTGCACAGTTTAGGCCGATTAGCACAACAGAACTTGGAAACACTTAAGAAAGCAAAAGGTAAACATTTTCCACTTTCTTTTAAAATATTACCTAGCTGCTCTATACATAAGTTGTAGTTGAAAACTAAGAGAGTTTATCACAGCTACGTTTTTAAATCTGTTCCTCTGAATAAAGCAGTGACTTAAAATTAGCCTTTAAGCTTCTACTAAATTTAATCCTGAGTTTATACCCCAAAGTTAAGTAATTATCTGCATGATGCCCAAAGAATGAAGCATCTCTGGACCATGACCAAAGGGTTTGTGCTCTGTCATCAGGATGCACAGTCCTGTTCACAGACCGTTCTGGCGTGAGTGCAGTGGGCCATGTGATGCTGGGAACGATGGATGTCCATCACCACTGGGTGAAGGTAAGGAGCTTGAGAACTAAAAATCTCTTTGTCATTCATCTGCTTTCGTTTTAAGCAATGCTCTGATGTCATTGAACTAAAAATTTAAATCCTTGCTTCAGCTGTTTTGAAATGATATGCTTAATATCATTTAGTTAAAATATTAAAAGGAAAGACTGATTTTTAAGGCAGTTTTGGCCAGGCGCTGTGGCTCACGCCTATAATCCTAGCACACTGGGAGGCCGAGGCAGATGGATCGCTCAAGGTTAGGAGTTTGAAACCAGCCTGAGCGAGACCCTGTCTCTACTAAAAATAGAAACTAATTGACCAACTAAAAAATATATATATATAAAAAAAAATTAGCCAGGCATGGTGGCACATGCCTGTAGTCCCAGCTACTCGGGAGGCTGAGGCAGTAGGATTGCTTGAGCCCAGGAGATTGAGGTTGCTGTGAGCTAGGCTGATACCACAGGACTCACTCTAGCCTGAGCAACAAAGTGAGACTCTGTCTCAAAAAAATTAAAAAAAAAATAATAAGACAGTTTTTATCTGGTAATGTAACAATCTTTTCTGAAGCACAGCCTGAGAGCCTGTATTCTGTTGTTTTGTTTTACTTGTTTTTAACAGGTTTATTAAGGGACAGTTTTTATCTGGTAATGTAACAATCTTTTCTGAAGCACAGCCTGAGAGCCTGTATTCTGTTGTTTTGTTATACTTGTTTTTAACAGGTTTATTAAGGTATAACTGATACTTAATAATATTATAATTTTATAATATTATTATATATTATAATATAATTTTATAATAATATTATAATATTATCACACATAATAGTGTGATAATTTGGTAAGTTTTGACATACATATATGCCTATGAAACCATAACCACAGCCAAGGCAGTGAACATATCCATTTCTTGAGAGGGAGGGTCACAAAGGGTCATCTGCTCTTGGCTCCTTGTAAACCTTTCCTGTAATCCCACCACCCCCTGCCCAAGCAACCACTGGTCAGCTTTCTGTCACCCCAGATTAGTTTGCATTTTCTAGAATTTTATGTAAGTGGAATCATAGAGTATGCATAATTTTTTGTCTCGTTTCTTTCACTCACTTATTTTAATATCCATCTATGATGGGTTGCAGGTATGAGAGTTTATTACCTTTTTTGCTATGTAGTATTCCATTGTATAAATATACCACAGTTTGTTTATCCATTCACACGTTGACGGACATTAGGTTGTGTCAGTTTTGGGCTATCACAAGCAAAGCTGCTATGAACATTTGTGTACAAATATATGAACATGTGTTTCCTTTCTCTTGGGTAAATTACCCAAGATAGTATGGCTGGATCATATGGTAGAGTTATCTTAACTTTTTAAAAAACTGCCGACATTTACTATGATCATCTTTTTAATTTTAGCCCCATTCTAATAGGTATGTAGTACTATCTCATTGTGGGTTTAATCTGCATTTCTCTAGTGACAGATAATGGTATGTTTTCATGTGCTTATTTGCCATCCACATATCTTCTTTGGTGAAATATTTGTTGAAATCAAATATTTGGTAGAAAATATTTGCAAACTACATATCTGACAGACTTTGTATCTAGAATATATAAAGAACTCTTAAAATTCATTAACTAAAAAAATCCAACTAAAAAAGGGGCAAGAGACATGAAAAAACATGTCACCAAAGAGGATATACAGATGACACACATATGCACATGAAAAGATTTTCACCTTTAGCCATCAGGAAAATATAATTTAAAACTACAATGAGATATCAGTACATGCCTATCAGAATGGCTAAAATAAAAAATAATCACACCACCAAATGCTGATGAGGATGCAGAAAAACTGGATCACTCATGCATTGCTAATGGGAATGTAAAATGATACAGGCATTCTGGAAAGAGTATGGCAGTTCTTACAAAACCAAACATGTCCTTACCATATGACCCAACAGTTGACCTGTTGCGTATTTATACAGAGAAATAAAAAATTATTGACTCACGCCTGTAATCCTAGGACTCTGAGAGGCCAAGGTGGGCAGATTGCTCGAGGTCAGGAGTTCGAAACTAGCCTGAGCAAGAGTGAGACCCCAAATTAGTTGGCCAAATTAATTGGCCAACTAATATTGCTGAGGCAATAGGATTGCTTGAGCCCAGGAGTTTGAGGTTGTCGTGAGCTAGGCTGATGCCACGGCACTCACTCTAGCCTGGACAACAAAGTGAGACTCTGTCTCAAAAAAAAAAATTATGTTCACACAAAAATCTGTGCATGAATGTTCATAATAACCAAAAACTAAGAAGAATCCTAATGTCCATCAGTGTGTGAATAGTTAAAAAAAACTGTAGTACATCCATATCATAGAATCCTACTCAGCAATAAAAAGGAATGAACTACTGATACATGCAGCAGCTTGGATGGCTCTGGAGGACATTGCACTGAGTGAAAAGAGTCAGTCTCAAAAGTTTACATACTGCATGAGTCCATTTATATAACATTTTTGCAATAATAAAATCATAGGCTAGGCACGGTGGCTCTTGCCTGTAATCCTAGCACTCTGGGAGGTGAGGCAGGAGGATTGCTCAAGGTCAGGAGTTCAAAACCAGCCTGAGCAAGAGTGAGACCCCGTCTCTACTAAAAATAGAAAGAAATTAATTGGCCAACTAAAAATATATAGAAAAAATTAGCCAGGCATGGTGGCACATGCCTGTAGTCCCAGCTATTCAGGAGGCTGAGGCAGAAAGATCGCCTAAGCCCAGGAGTTTGAGGTTGCTGTGAGCTAGGCTGATGCCACAGCATCTAGCCCAGGCTACAGAGTGAGAGAGAGACTGTCTCAAAAAAAAAAAAAAAAACTCATAGAAAGGGAGAACAGATCAGTGGTTGCCAGGAGTTAAGGAGTAGGGGAGCAGAAGGTGTCAGTGGCTACAAAAGGGATCCCTGTGATAGAACTCCTCTGTGTCTTAACTGTGGTGATGTCACACAGATCTATACATGTGGTAAAGTAGCATTAAATTAAATACACACACACATAAATGAGTACAAGTAAAACTGATGAAATCTGAGTAAGATTAATGAATTATATCGATATCAATTTCCTGGTTGTGATATTATACTGTATTTTCACAAGATGTTACCATTGGGGAAACTGGGAGAAAGGTACATGAATCTACAATTATATCAAAATACATACATGAGTAACCCATCGAGAGAAAAATTGAAAAAGTAAAATTATTTTTTACAAAATGTAGATTATAAATCATATGTAGAATTTTTATATTGTTATTAATTTTATCATAGCAGAGTTTTTGGTGCCTTCCAATTCCTCTTAAAGTTGTGTAGAGCCCAGCTTTCGATGTTAAATCTAAGTCTTTAACGGTCCTTCCCTGACCTAGCTCCCCGTTCAGCCTCTTTCTACGCGCCCACAAGCAGGCCCGCTCCAGCCACACCAAACTCCCTGCTGTTTTTGAACATACTGTTTGTTTTCACGCTTCCATGTTTGCAATGTGCTCTTTTGTCTGCCCCTCAGACATTCCCACATTCATCTTCCCTTTTTTAAATCCTATGTAACTTTTAAGATTAGTCAAATTAGACTTCCATAGACATCTTCACTGGAGCCTCCTCTCTGTACCCATTCACCTCGATGTGGCAGTTAGTACACTGAATTCAGATTTTTGTTTTGTCTCCTTGCCCCTCACCTGTGGGCCCAAGCCCAACAGGGACAAACTCTTATAATCTGTGCACTTCAAGTGCCCAGTTTAGTGCTTAAGTACAGGGTTGGTGCTTGATAATATTTATTGCATTTAATTGAATGTAGTTGATTTAAAGTAAATTTTGAAGGAATAAACTTGAAGTTGAAATGCATATACTTTATTTCTAAAACTGTCTTTATTATACCACTTAATCATTCTAAGCTACTTTAAGACTCTTATCTGAATATTTAAATATTAGTCGTTAGGACTCATTTTTATTTAGAATATATATTTTTTAATCTCTTCAATTCCTTTCTAAAAAACCCCCAAGATTTTTTTTTTTTTGAGACAGAGTCTCACTTTGTTGCCTAGGCTAGAGTGAGTGCCGTGGCATCAGCCTAGCTCACAGCAACCTCAAACTCCTGGGCTCAAGCGATCCTGCTGCCTCAGCCTCCTGAGTAGCTGGGACTACAGGCATGCGCCACCATGCCCAGCTAATTTTTTCTATATATTAGTTGGCCAATTAATTTCTTTCTATTATAGTAAAGACGGGGTCTTGCTCTTGCTCAAGTTGGTTTCGAACTCCTGAACTCAAACAATCCGCCCACCTCGGCCTCCCAGAGTGCTAGGATTATAGGCGTGAGCCACCGCGCCCGGCCAAAACCCCCAAGATTTACAGTAGTTTGTTTTGAATATTAATATTTCTAGCATTACATTAAGCCTTTTTCTTAACTCATACTTGAACTTTCCTTCTAGGAAAATAATTTTCTTGCTAAAATTTCTCAGTACCATTTATTGGAATCCTAAAATTGAATTATTAGCCTAACATAAAACTAAATGCTAATATTTCTTTCCCTTTTTTTAATACTATAGCTTTTTGAAAGATTGCCAAGTTATTTTGACCTTCAGAGGAAGCTGATGCTTTTAGAAGACCAAATAAGCTATCTTTTAGGTGGCATACAAGTTGTTTATATCGACGAATTACAGCCAGTATTGACACTTGAAGAATATTACTCTCTTCTTGATGTGTTCTATAATAGGATACTGGAAAGTAGAATGCCTTTTCACCCTCAAAGTCTGCGTGGTTTACAAATGATCCTTAACAGGTAAATATCTAAAACAGAAGTATTACTTTTATTCTTTCCCTTAAGGGGATTGTGATGTGTGAGTGCATTAAATTGTTTTTTAGTTCAGTGTGTGGTTCTTAGGAATTAAAAAAAAGCAATGTCACTACTTATGTTAGCCACTCTCTTCTACACATTATTATTTAGAAAAGCCAACATGAGGGGATTAAAGGGTTGAATCTCGAGAACATTCTTTGAATATATTGCCACTTACTGGGCAAAGTCAATCCTATGGAAAACCTTATAGGATTAAACGAATATTAAATCAGTAGCCAGCATTTTTGGTGCATGTACTTGCTATTTGCCATGAAGCACCCACTGTGCTGGGTGCTCACACACTTTCTCTTTGGCTTTCACAATCTCACCATTAAGTAGGTCACTACCAACATCATACAAATAAGGAAGGTCACCGGGCTCGGATGTATGTAATCATCCTCATAACGTGTATCTTTGAGCCTTAAGTCAATGTTACTGTACGTTAAAGATGGATTTTCCTGGTGATTCCTTTTTAGTTTCTTGAAGACTAAGAAAACAGTTTCTCTGGTGGGGGAGTGGATGGGTTCAGTAATTTTTCCCTTATGTGTGTTTCCTTTCAGTGACAGATATGCTCCAAGCCTGCATGAACTCGGGCATTTCAACATCCCAGTACTCTGTGATTTAGCAAATCTCCAATGGTTTATTCTCACCAAAGCTCAGCAGGCAAGAGAGAACATGAAAAGAAAGGAAGAGTAAGTACCGTTAGCCCTCTGCAAAGTTGTATCATTCAGTCTAACTTTTAAAAAATCAAGTATTTGGAACTCATAAATGTGGGACCTTAAAACTCTATTAAACTTAATAAATTGACTAATTTATGGATATTCTATATTTATTTAGTCCCCACCTGCAAAAGATTAGATGTGGCTGTTTTGTAAGTATAACAACCTAAATTACATTGCCACCGTATACCTCAATTTGAGAAGTAGGGCTTATTAATATAAAATTCAACTCAGGAACAGAATGAAAAGTAAAAACATCAGAAAGAAATTCTCCAGATGGAAAAGATTGGCAACAACAACAACAACAAAATCTTCATTGTTTAAAAATTTTTCAACTATTGTTATAAAGAAAACTTTATCTGCATTTTAATTAAATTGAGAAAAATTTATAAAACAAAAAATTGTTTTAGTTCATAAATAGTCCTGTTTCTGTGTTGTTTATATCTTTGAAGAAGTCATATTATAGCCAATAATTTCCTGTTTTGTAGGCGGTTAGATACTGCTCAATAATGTTTTATGCATCTCCTGTGAAGAAAGGAGGTATTACATTCAAAAAATGGTTATTTTTCTAAAGATGTTGCCAGGAGGTTTGGTTACCAAGCATTTACTCACTCACTCATTCATTTAGCCAGCATTTACTGTAACTGCCGTGTGCTCGAAGCTGTGATAGGTGCCACTGGTAGCTGAAGTCCTGGTCCCTGGCCTCCTGGAATTTGTTTCTAGTAGGAGACATGAGTGCTTTGAATAAGTTGAGCGGGAAGAGGCAACACTCTGGGAAGGCAAGGAGCAGGAAGGAGATGGCAGAGGGGCAGGAAGGAAGCTGAGGGGAACGGCTTTGCACATGTCTGGGGAGAGAGAACGGGACGTGGCAGCTGGGTGTTCAGCAGGGTGCTGGTGGAAGCTGTTCTGCCTAACTGCCCCTGCAAGGCTCGGCCCCCACAAAGTGCTCATTTAAAAGCCAGGGACATAAAATAGAACAGCTAGCAGCTGTCCATTTAAGAAGAGACAATGGGATCATTTTATTTATAAAATAAATGAAGGAGTTGCATCTCTTTGTTTTGCTTATGGAATTGGTAACAACTCTGTTGGCCAGACCCTATGATAGGAATATCCTACTTCTTGGTTGGTTGCTAAGCATTTGTTTGTGGTATTACTTTTCTAAATTGTAAGTCTGCTCTAATCTCTTGGGAGCAGTTCCAGCCAACTTGTCATTTTTAGGACTGGTGATTTTGTCTGCTGTACCATATCTGCTGCTTTTCTCTGTGGCCATTTTATAGCTTTGGAATAATGCTACTAGATTGTGAGGAAGGAAAATTAAAAAATAAAATTCAAATAGGTTGATTTTTGAAAGTTCCCTCTTACCAGTTGCTCAGGCAAATAAAAACCCTGAGTCGTCTTGGTTCCTCTCCCAACTCCCTCACTCGTCCTCTCCACCCCACCTTCAGAGGAGACCCAAAGCGTGCCATCTCTCCTTTCCTTTTCTGCCACAGCTGGTCGAGGCCCCCATCATTCTGTAATGACCTCCTGTCTGGTCTGCAACCTTCCATACCCATGCCCTCCACCACCGCCTGTCAGTGCCCATCAGAGCAGCTGAGTGAGAGCGAAGTCCGGGTTGTCCCTGCCTGTGCCTGCAGGGTCCCCTGCGGTGCTCCCTGACTGCGTGCATTCCTGGGACTCTCCCCTTGCTTACTTTGCTCCAGCCCCGTTTGCCTTTTCATCCTCCTGGAGCACCGCCAGCATGTGCAGTTCCTGGGCCCGTGCACTAACCCCCAGCAACACTGCGCAGGGCCCTGCTCCCGTTCTGCCTTCTCTGCCCGCAGTGTAGCATGGGGCCTGCCCTCCACTGCTCTCTCCTGTCCTCTCGTCCGTTGGCTTAGCGCCATCGACCTCAGCAAACTCCCTTTCCTTATTTATTCGCTGTTTCTCTCTCCCTCCAAACAGAAGGGGAGCTCCATGTGGGCAGAGACTGGTCTGTCTTGTTCCCTCCAGCGCTGGCTGGGATCAGTGCCAGGCACTCAGGAAATACCCGCAACTGACTGTTAATTTTGGCTCGCTTACTCAGCCCTGCTGGCTCTGGGCTCCAGAGCCCTCATCCCTGCACTTGTCCCCCAAGGGAAGGAAAGCACTTGCTGCTGGTCCCCACACACCTTTCCACTTAGCTGTGGCCTTTGCCCCCCTGCTGATAACAATGCAAACAGAGTCAGAGGTCTTCCCTGACTCTGGGCCTAGCAGCCTTTGTCCTCACTCCTGTCCTTTGCTCTGTCCTTTGCTCTGTTCTCCCTGACCTAAAGGTCTCCTTCCTTGTATTTGCCGGGTAGTGATTAAGACTGCCTTCTTTCCTTACATGAAGTGTGCTTACATGGAGAGTGGTTTTCAGACACTTTTTAACTGCGTATCTCTTATAAAGTGGATTCTTAAGTAGAAACCCAATGTATTTAACAAAGACAAAACCTCATAGCTGCTCTATTTCAAAATGAAAAAAACTAGAGGCCACCTGTACCCGTAGGGCCCTCAGAGTACCTCTGCAGGCCCCTTGGCTTGCTGAACAGTTTTTTTTTGTTTGTTTGTTTGTTTGTTTTTGAGACAGAGTCTTGCTTTGTTGCCCAGGCTAGAGTGCCATGGCATCAGCCTAGCTCACAGCAACCTCAAACTCCTGGGCTCAAGCGATCCTGCTGCCTCAGCCTCCCGAGTAGCTGGGACTACAGGCACCTGCCACCATGCCCAGCTAATTTTTTCTATATATTTTTAGTTGGCCAATTAATTTCATTCTATTTTTAGTAGAGACTGGGTCTCACTCTTGCTCAGGCTAGTTTCGAACTTCTGACCTTGAGCGATCCACCCGCCGCCTCAGCCTCCCAGAGTGCTAGGATTGTAGGCATGAGCCAGCACACCCAGCCTGCTGAACAGTAAAAACCACTATTCCAAGCTAATATCTGGATCCTGTCTTTATAGAACATGACCATCTCAAGACTGCATGGCTTGTAGCTCCTGTCTCCTAACATTGCCTGGCCGCCGTGTGGAAAGTGTGTGGTCTCTGTGGAACCTCCACTGCTTTGGAGGCTGGTGATAGCTGGGTGCACAGCTCTTACGTAGGGTGGTAAGAAGCCAGGTAACCTGCACCTAGACAGTAAACCAGCTCTCCTCACTTGATGTTTTTCAGTATTAATAATTCACTCAGATGTTTCCTCTCATTTTATAGCATATACAAGAGCTGTCTGGAAAGTATTCAGCCATATAACTGCTCTTGTCTCGTTAACAATGGCTTAAATCCAGCCATTGATATTTCAAATATTAAAATCACTTAGGTAAATTGGAAATATAGAAATGTACAAGAAGCTGGGTGCAGTGGCTCACGCCTGTAATCCTAGCACTCTGGGAGGCTGAGGTGGTAGGATTGCTTAAGCACAGGAGTTCGAGACCAGCCTGAACAAGAACGACACCCCGTCTGTACTGAAAATAGAAAAAAAAATTAGCCAGTCGTAGTTGTGCCCACCTGTAGTCCCAGCTACTCAGGAGGCTGAGGCAGGAGGATCGCTTGAGCCCAGGAGTTTGAGGTTGCTGTGAGCTAGGATGACGGCACGGCACTCTAGCCCAGGCGAAGAGCGAAACTCTGTCTCAAAAAAAGAAAAAATATGTACAATAATAGAAGAATGGCTTAGTTATTTTGAGACTTGCATATAGTAGAAACAACCATTTAAAAGAATGTTCAATTGATTCAACTAATATTTATTGAGTACTTATGTGTCTAGCAAACACTGTAGAGTCACTAGTGCTGATAACAATGCACACAAGACATGGAACTCACATTCTGACATCAGAGCAGAGTGGTTTAACTTTGTGTTAAAAAAAAAATGAGGATATTTTTTGTTAAAGGAAAGGAGGGTCGATTCCCTTAGGAAATGTCTGGCCTGTTTCTCAGCATAAGAAGGAAAGGAACAGAACTTCCCACCAGCCACACGCCCCACCCTATATTCCCAGACACCCTGTCATGATGTTTCTCTTGTGTGTACTCGGCCTTCTTTTTCTCTCTCGCTTGCTCTCTCTCTTTCTTGAAGTATGAATATAATAAAGCCAAAAAATTATAAGGAAAGGCAAAATATAATTTTTTAAAAATATTTTTTAATTTAGTCTGCTGCTGACTACAGAAGCACTCAAGAAGGAGGAAAGGCTATTACATGTTGTTTTCCTACTGAGGGGACATGCCTGGAGGGACCCTTACCAGGGGCTGCTTTCTCAGAACTTGGTGCTCCTCCAAGCTTGCACCCTTGAAGGACGGACAGGTTCTCCTGATTAGAAAGGCTGTGGCCTGTGGGTCTGGGAAACCCTGAGGATTTCCTTAGAAGAAATGGGAATGCATGAATCCTGCCCGGATTTGTATAAAGGTGTATTGTTGGAGAACTACATGGCAATGTGCTCACACTGCAAGGCTTTTCATTTCTAAGCCAGGTTGTGAATATCTTTTTTGTTGTTGTTGTTGACAAGTGAAAAAGCCCTTTATGGAAAAAGATAGCTATACCCTGCTGTATCGGTGGTAGTTTAGGGTGAGCAGACCTCACTGGAACATTCTCAGAACCATCAGCCATGACTGCTGTCTACTTTCTTGAATCTCTAAGCAACATACTGCAGAGGAGTGATCTTATGGAAAGAGCTAATAGCACGTAAGAAAGTGATCTGGGCGTTGTTAAAGAGATTCCGAAGTTATAGACCAGGATAACTATCTGCTCTGACCATTTCTGTTTTCAAATGTTTTTCTAGCTTATGGATATTTTATGGTACCTACTTTTCTCTTTTATGCAGAGTTTAAGGGTGATTAAACATAGGATATTTGTGTATTTTTAACCAATGGAATATTTAAATTAGACTGGTTTGGGACACATGACCGTGGCATTTTTGCTGTACTCACCTTGTCAAATGGCCTTCCCAAGTAACATATGTATTAGTCTAGTGCAACTGCGAGGATGTGACAAGGTGGATTCTCTTGAACACATCTCTAGATGTGGGGCACTGAGTCCACTTACCATATTCATAAGCACTTGCCACCTGTGGGAGAGTATTTGAGACCTGATTCTGCCCCCGCACTGTGTACTCTGTCGGCCTTAACTGAAGCCCCTGACAGAACAAGAGATGTTGTAACCTCAGGCAAAGGAGAGGGAACAGAATAGGAAAGTAACAATAAAGAGAACCTGTCCCCTAGTTTTTTTGTGAGCCTGGTGTTTATTTTGAGAATCTTTAGAAGTCAGTACTGCCCATGGGTTAAATTTTAAGTGGCTCCTAAAGCTAGGGTGCTTTTTGGTTTTTTCCCCCCAAAATTATTAAGGGGATACAAATGTTTTAGGTTACATGGATCACTTTTGTAATGCTTGAATCCCAGCTATAGGTGTGCCTGTTACCCAAATAGTGTTCATAGTACCCATTAGTTAGTTTTCCCCCTCCCCTTCTCCCCTTCCCTCTCCCCCACTGGCGAAACCAAAAAACAATCAACAAGGCAAAGAGATAGCCTACAGAATGGGAGAAAATATTCACAAGAGACACATCCGATAAAGGGCTAATAACCAGAATTTACAAAGAACTCAAGCAAATCAGCAAGAAAAACACTGAAGCTCTTGGTTTTATATTCCTAGCTTTCTGTTTTCCTTAGTTGCTGACTGCTGCTATATGAGACAAGATAAGAGCTTTTTAAATTATGGATTAATTATTTTTACCCCATTATTGCTAAAAAGATTGAACAAATGCTTTTAGAGATACACGTGGCAGTAACTCAGTAGGTACTGCGTCATAACTATCGGCGTGTCTTCCAAACATGTGATTGGCCCTTCGCAGGTGCCCTTGTCAGTGTTGTGAGTGGAAACTTACAGCCCTGATATTTTAGAATATATGTACAATATATGTTCTTTTATTTATTATAGCTTATGGCAATATTATTTTTATTTTCAATATAATAGGTTAAAGGTTATTGAGAATGAATTGATACAGGCTTCAACAAAGAAATTTTCCCTGGAGAAGTTATATAAGGAGCCCAGCATTTCTAGTATACAAATGGTGGATTGCTGTAAGAGACTTCTAGAACAATCACTGCCTTATCTACATGGGATGCACCTGTGTGTTTCACATTTTTACTCTGTTATGCAAGATGGAGACCTTTGTATTCCTTGGAATTGGAAGAATGGAGAAGCCATTAAGTAACAGAAATCTATTTTTATTTTTTTAAAGAGATAAGAAAGAAACTGTTAAATTAAACTTATTTAAATCCTCAATTTGATATAACAGTATTATTTACATAGTACAAGAACAAAGTTTCTAACTGCTGCTTTAAAAGTAGACATTTCTAAAACAATGAATTTCTTCTAGGAAACTTGTTTTAAAAAGGTTTTATCTCCCAGCCTTATAGTGTTGATTGGCAAAACTAAGTAAAAAGAGTTTAGAGTGAATATATTTATAGTGATACGTAAATGAAGGATTTGACAAGAGTGATATATTTTTGTATGAGGGAACGTTGGTTTGGGGCTGGGCAAGTTTGTGTGTGTAAATATAATCAGGCCCCGTGTCCAGAGTATAGCTCAGAAGTAACGGAGCTCATTTCTACATGTAACATGATGCAACGTGCATCTTTATAGTTACATCTCATGTATACACACACACACACACACGTATTTTGCAGCCAGAAATGGACACTTGATGTCCAAAACCAATGATTGATAGATAGCAAAAATTGGATAACCAAATTTTTCCTAAGAGACTAGAGGGGAAAAAAAGCAGTTGAATATATGATATTGACTTTGTCATAAGCCATCTGATAACCAACCAGTTTATTAAAATCTTCAGTGACAGAGAATTTAGATTTAAATTCATAATTTCTCCCGTTCATTAAAATATTGTAACTGTTGGTAGCATGAAACCAACAGACCGGTAGTATTTTGAATCATTTAATGAGGTGACCCATTTGTTTTCATGGGCAAACACTATCTAGGAAAATTCTCCCAAAGAGCTCTAGGAAGTAGAATCAAGTATAAAATGGTGCAGACCATTTGGGATTTCTGTCGCTGCTCTCAACTCTTCCTGTGCCTACCAGTGTTTGAAATGCTTGTTAGCTCTGGCCCAGGTAAGCCCTCTGGGTCACCTCTCGTTCATGCCATACAGCTCAGCCTCACATGGTTTATGGCGTCCCCAGCAGAGTCGAGGGACCTGGTCTCTAGACTCAGGGCTTCCCTCTCCGCAGATACACCCCCAGATTCCTTAGGGCATATTTTTAACCAGCTTGAAACCTCTCCGGCTCATTTCTCAAGAAGACAGAGTGAATCCTGGTTTAGGATGCCATTTTTGGGACTCTTGCTGCTGAAGAAATCAGAAAGGAATTTTTTCTGAAATTCATTAGAAAGTAAAGGAGATGTTATGATCAGTTTTGAAGTATGTTTTAAATTTATCTAAAACGCTGTTCAAGTTTAAATTCAAATGTGTGTTCTAAAGAAGTATCGATTTGTAATTATTATAGTTTGTGCATATCATCCCTTTTAACCTGTGCCTAACAACTATACTTAAATTTTGTTTTCTAGTGTAACTTGTTACCTGTAAAGATTTTCCAGAGCCAAATAATAGGAGTGAAAAATTCCTTAAAGATTATATAAGAAAATGTATTAGAAATGTATCAGGTTTGGATTATGCCATTTCCAAAATCAACTAGTATAGAATCCTCAGTAATATGTTTTGAATTGAATTTTGTCTACAAAATAATTATTACCTAATAAATAATACCTACATCAACCAGATAACTGTTTTTCCTTGTTATCCAATGATTAGTGGTTTTATAACTATTGCAGTATAATAGGAAATTACAAAAAATTATAATTTTTTGTATATGCCTGTTTGATTTATTCTCCTAATTTAACATAAAAGGACCAGGCCCTTCTAACTATGTTTCTGCAAAGTCTTGGGAAGAAATGGTCTGTCTCCAAAGGGACCTGAGCTCCAGATCAGGGCTAGGCCTGTCCCAAGGCAGAAACAGGACCTGAACTCACCTGGGGCCTGTATCCTCCCCTCCCCCAGGCTGTCTGTTAGTTCTCAGCATTAACTAGTTCTTAGACAAAGCTACGTCTGTCCCCAGACTCTCTCTTAAAGGCCTCCACCTCCAGGCAGCCTCTCTGAGCTAATGAGAAGGTAGTGGGCCTTGAGGAGTGGGCAAGTGGGACAAGAGGGACCAGGGCCATGTTAGGGCCAGCTCACCTTTGGAATCTAAGGACTGAGTGCCCATCTTAGACGGAGGTCCCTGGAGTGAGCCCCTCTAGCTCAGGTCACTGTCCCAGCATCCTGGTGCCTGCTTTCCCCATACTAACTCAGCCTCTTCCATGGGGGCTGCCCACCCCCAACCCCAGGTGCCCTGGAGGATTCTGTCCAGGCTTCCCTGGAGCGAGCCAAGCAGATCAGATCAGTCCCAGGGAGACCGATGGGCCCTGAGACTCCAGGCTTCTCTACTGGGGACCATGGTCCTGGCAGCCTCCCACCCATGGGCCAGGGTGCAGGAGCCACAGATGCATCAGGTGAGGCCTGGCAGCTGGCCAACCACAAATGTCTGCCCTGTTCCAAGACCACCCCTCTACCTATACCACTTGGCCACAGACCCTATCCTTGGGCCCTCTGACATGGTGGGGTCACCATAGTTCCTTTCCCATGGGTAAGAATTTGCACAAGCCCCAGGGAACCCTGACATGGCATCCCGGTGGCTCCAACTGCTAAGTTGCCCTGGACAAGGGCCACCCCTCACTTCCCCTCAAGTTTCCCCACCTATGAAATGAGGCACCGAGGCATGTTCTTGGACATTCTTCCCACCCTCCACAGGTTCTGTCCCAGGAAGCCGGCGGTCCTCCCAAGGGTGGACCTTGGTCACTAGCCCAGGTACTTGTTCTTTAGCAATTAGGCAAGGACAGGAGGAGGGGCTGGAGTAGCCCGTACCCCAGACAAATCAGACCTAGGTGGGTGCTGTGAGACTCCCTTCCTGCTCTAAGACTCTGCTCCTACAGCCTGGTTCTATTGGCCACTCCAAACCCTTTGTGGGGGTCGGGCGCGGTGGCTCACGCCTGTAATCCTAGCACTCTGGGAGGCCAAGGCGGGCGGATCGCTCAAGGTCAGGAATTCAAAACCAGCCTGAGCAAGAGCAAGGCCCCGTCTCTACTAAAAAATAGAAAGAAATTAATTGGCCAACTAAAAATAGATAGAAAAGATTAGCTGGGCATGGTGACACATGCCTGTAGTCCCAGCTACTCAGGAGGCTGAGGCAGAGGGATCGCTTGAGCCCAGGAGTTTGAGGTTGCTGTGAGGTAGGCTGATGGCACAACACTCTAGCCTGGGCAACAGAATGAGACTGTCTCAAAAAAAAAAAACCCTTTGTGGGGACTTACTTGTGTGGAGCATCTTAGGATCTTAGGGAGCTTTTCTTTCCTAAGCTGACAGATATTGCATATGGAGAGACTGAGGCCCAAAATAGGGAAGAGGCTTGTCCAAGGCCCTCTGCAGGCAGGAGAGGTTTAGTTAGAATCCAGGTGTCCCAGGGTCCACGAGGGATCCGAGCAGGCAGGAGAGCCCCAGCTCCAGGCAAGCCCACCACCAGGTCAGCACCAGGGATAAATAAGGTCCCCACCAGGTGGCCCTTGGAGCGGTACTGCCCCATCTTGGAGGGTGGGTGGGTCACAGCAGGGAGAGACAGGGACCTGGGGTGGTGCCTGGATGGTCAGGTGCCTAGGTCCTGGGCACGATGGTACACCTACAGAACCGGTGTGCAGACCAGGTAGGGCTGGCGCCCATCAGCTCTGCTCCCTCTTTCCCCCACGGAAGCCTGGCAGGCCTCAGCCCCCACCCTGCCTCCAGCCCGGCTGCTGGGGCGCCTCAGCCTCGTTCCCTCCTTGCCAGGGCGTGGGGTGCACAGGGACTGCTCAGGTGCCTGCAGCATCGTCTCAGAGTGGCATGCACGCTTCTGCCCCAAAGTGCCCACCACAGATACTCATCTGGGGGAAACTGGCTCAGCACAGGGCGTGGCCCAAACTGGAGGGGCCTTCAGATTTTCACCCTCCTGATCTTTGAGAGGTGGCTGGCTTTTCTTTTTCATTTGCTCATTCGTCACTTCCACAAGCACTGGCCTAGACCCAGTATCCACGTGCGAGAGCCAGAGACTCCCGGGTCAGCAGGGCAGGCACAGAGGCCTCGGGAAGGGAGGGCAGCGTGGTCAGGGACAGTGCCTGCGCGGCTATGACGGGCTCCCAAGGGCCAATCGCCTGTGACTGCAAGGCTGGCATCTGAGCAACCTGGGCTCACGGGTCCCCTTCCCCCCGCCCAGATCCCCGTCCATGCAGACCAGCATATGTCCAGAAAGCGCAGGGCTCAGTGCCAGGCCATCATGAAGGCCATCTCCAGCCCACAGTGACCGGGCACAAGGCAGGAACAGGGAACAGGTGCTTCCCTAGGGCCCCGGGGGCCATGGGGGAGAGTCACGCCCCCTGTAGGGTCCTGATATCCTTCGCCAAGGGTTTTCCAGGGTCTTCTCAGGCTCCGCCCAGCAGGCATCAGAGCTCACTAGTGAAGGGTCCTGGGGGCGGGGTCAGGGGGCCCGGGTCTCCCAGCGTGGAAAGAGTAAAGTACAAGGGCAGTGAGCTTTCTTGCCGGCTGGGCTTATTCCCTGGGGAACACGACGCAGTCCCAAGCGGAGGGCGCTGTGTGGCAGTCCTTAGGGGCACTGGAGCCCCGTCCTCACCCCCTTCCCGGCCACCACCTGGCCCCTGAGCACCCGCTTCCCAGCAAAGCCCATGCCCACACCCGCAGGCCGCCTGGAAACCTGCTGTGAGACAGCACAGCCCCAAAGTCCTGGCCGCTTCACTTGTGGCACAGGGCTTGGGGGGCAGGGACAAGGCCGATTCCAGCCCTCACGACCCTCACAACCTGGTCATACATCCCTTGACCCGAGCCCCAGATCTTTGTCAAAGGAGCTGCTGGAAGGCCTGTTCAAAAAGAGCGTGGTGATAGAGGCCAAGGTGACTGTCCCCCCTCCTGCTCCCCGCGCCTGGCTCCGGGCCTCATGTCAGCCCTGCCCTGGCTTCCTGCCCTGCCTGCACCTGCTCAGACCTGCAGACACCAGCACCATCTCAGCCTGGCCCCGCCTGAGCCAGAGCACTCCCCTGCCCCCTTCTCTCCCTTCAGAGCTGCCCTCCTGCTCAAAGACCCTCTGTGTCCCCAGAGGGCTGTCACAGCTCCCCCATGGCTCTCTCAAAGCCTTCCCACTCCCAGTGTCACCTCTTCCTGCCCTGCATCTGTGGCTGGGCCAGCACCCTGACCTGCTCCGTCTCAGCTTCCAGCCTTCAAAGCTCTGCTCAGGCCGTTCCTGCCCGCCAGGGCGTCCTCCCCACGCCTCGGGGCCCAGGGGCTCCACCTCGGCCCGCGCTCAGCCTGGCACACAAACTCCGGGACCACCTTGCATGGAGCTCGGACCTGGGGAACTTGCCCAGGCTCTGATCCTGGAGGGCAGCGCGGGAGGCGGCATTTCACGTGGGAGCAGCCCTGGAGCGGGAAGGCACCAGGGGTGACGAGGGAGCAGGTGAGTGGCCGGGGCAGAGGGCCGAGGATCTCACTGAACACCCGGTCATTGCCTGCACATGAAGTTGTGGATCTAGCAGCTGGGTGGGGGGCACAGCACCCGCACGCCGGGCACCCTGCCTGGGCTGCCCCAGCCCTGGTGGGAGTGTGTGGCAGGTAGGACGTCGTGGGCATCTGCAGGCTGGCAGGCTCTTGCCCAGACTCCGCTTGCATACCTACAGTGATGGAGAGCTCATTCCCTCCCCAGGCAGCTCCAAAGTTGAGGTGCAGCTCTACATAAGCAAAAGCTCTTTCAAAGAGAGCTGAAATCTGCCCCTGGGGCTCCCCGCTGGGCCCCACCCTGGCCCCAGGGTGGCTGTGGGGCAGACCCTTCCAGACCCGTGTCTCCTCCTCCAGACCTGGCAGCCCCAGGACCTCGCCCTTCCCCAGGCGTCATCTCCTTAGGGCACGACCACCAGGCAACTTAGTGTCCCTCACCCCCTGCCATCTGCCCCAGACAGGCCCCCCACACCGGTGTGCATTCTGCTCTGGAAACACAAGCCTGTGGTCTGGGCTTTACCCAGAACAGCAGCCTGTCGGAGCCGCAGCGCGGCAAGCGCAGCTCACCGGAGTGGGGTGGCGGAACAGACCCCAGGCTGGAGACTGCCGCAAGGCTGGCTTACGATCTGTGGTCTGTGGTCCCCAAAGACACTCAGCTCCCAGGATCCCCCCGACTCCCGCTCCTCCTCCCACTGGGGAAACAGAACATGAATTCCATCAAGACCCTTGTCGTCACCTATCTTAGGCCACCAAGCCCACTTCCACCGCTGGCTGGCTTCCCAGCCTAGAGCCCCCGAGAGCTCCCACGGACAGCTGCCTCGGGAACGAGCAATCGGGCCAACCCGGATAGGAAGGTGCTGCGCCTGCTGTCTGCAGAAGTGGCCCTGCCAGGTCTCACTGCAGGGACTGAGCCCTGCTGTCCCAGAATGGCTCTGGGTGATTTGTTGAGGGGATTTGTTACCCTGGAGACTCTGCTGGTGTAGACTGAGCCCCGATCCTCACCCCAAACTGAACCCAGATCCCTGCTGCAGGCTGAGCTTGTATCTCTCTGGGCACGTCTGAGACGCTTGCTGGGGCTCTTGCGGGTGGGCTGAGCATGAGGCTAAGAGCCCATGCCAGGTCAAGGTTGGGGTCTTGGCCCTGACTCTCTTGCTGGGAGCCCAGCACCTCCTGCCTGGCCGCTTTCCCACCAAGGCGCGGGATCAGGTTACCTCCAGGCCCAGGCCCTCCGCTCTGCTCCTCAGCCCGCCCTGCTCACCAGCATTTGCTGGCCGGGTGACAATGCAGAAGTGGGTGTCCTGGAGAAGTGCTCCGGCTGCCCACCAGCAGTGACACCAAGGACTCCATCAAGGTCACGCTGCAGGTGGGCCAGGGAGAGTACATGCCAGTCCTCCCGCCTACCCTCCGCCACGCTCGGAGGCAGCCAGGCCCTTGGGATCGGCGGAGCCCAGCCTGGGCCTGGCCTCCCTGCCACCTCTCACCCCAGGCCTGTGACCACAGCCACTGGTGGCCATGCAGGCCTGGCAGACAAGCTTGCTCACTTCCACATTGTGCAGGGAGGGAAACTAAGACACAGAGAGACAGGGCCCCGCCTAGGTCGCAGGGCACAGTGGCCACAGAGTTTAGGCTGGACCCCAGGCCTGTGCCCCCCAGCTCAGAGAACGGGGGTCCTGGCTGCTCAGCCTGGGGCAGAGTGTTTCAGAGCCCACTTACTCTCCCCCCACAGCGAGCCTGGTGCAGGACGCAGGCGCGCCAGGGTCCTCCGCGGCCCATTTCCTGGAATAACGTGGAAACCCTGGTCAGGAAGGGGCATGGAGCCAGCCTAACCTCTGACCTGTGATCCCTGGCCTGCCCCCGTGGAGACCTGGGAGTATCACCAGATGCCAAAGGGCAGGGAGGGGTGTTGTCAGCCAGTGCACTGCCTGTGGGGCACTGTCACAGGTGGCTGCCTGTGGGACGTAGGACTGAGTATCCACCTCCCCTCACACCCTGCCTCCTGACTGCGCTTCTCTTTAAGTAGCAGGACGCCTGAGACCCTCGTGTCCAGACCGGCGCCATCCAAGATGGTGGTGCACTTGACCTCCAGAAACCCCACCCTCATTATAATCAGTTTCCATGGGAAAAGATACGCCCAGTTGACAATCGCCATGGTGACGACAGGACGAGACCATGAAAGGACAAGGAGGAGGTGGTGTGCCGGTTCTGAGGAATTCTCCACCCGTTCCCAGAAAAGGCATAAATATTCCACCCTCTGCTTCTAATACCCACGCCCTTCATTAAAAGAAGTCCTGCATTTTAACCCCCTCAGCTCTCACACAATGGGATCCGAGGGCCGCCACACCTGGCCAATTAAAGTCAGCTTCCGGACGCCAAACAGGAAAGAGTCCCATCTTTTGGGGACAAACCAACGATCTTGGTAACAGTGTTCCTGGAGCAGGGTGCTCTGGGTTAGACATCCATGAGCTGGGGCCCCGGGGTCTCCTGTCCCCCAGAAGTCCACTTCCCTGAGACCTGGCAGCTCAAGCTCCTTGTGGCAGGGGCACGGTGCTCCATGGGCAAAGCTGAGGACAGGGCTGCAAGGCTGGCTCAGGGCAGAGGTGCCAGCCAGGTTGGGTGACGGCGTCTGGCCACAGCCATCTGACATTGTTCTGCATGCCCCACGCCCCTCCGGCGACCCTGATGGATTCTCAAGTCCATCTGGAGGAGACATTTCACCTGCACCTGCTCCGGGACAACTGGGAGCCTCCTGGTACCTGTCCAGGGACCTCAGTGGCTTCTCCAGCAGCTTCCCCTCAAACTGACCCCTCAGTGTGCCCAGGCCAAGCCTCTGCTGTCCTTCCTCCAGGACCCACCCTGTCCTTCCACCCTGCACCCCAGGGGCTTCCTGCAGCCTTGGCCAGCCTGACATGGGAGGGCCAGGTCTGCTTCCCACTCAGCCTGAGGTACTCCTTTCCTGGAGAGTGCCCAGGGACCAGGACACAGGCTGCCCACTGTCCCCAGCTGAGCCTGTTCTATCAGCAGCCCAAGGACAGCACAGAGCCGGGGAGAAGCGTGGCTCACAAAAGGGAGCCACTCCTGGCTCCTTCCAGCCTCAGGCTACCTCAGAAGAGGGCTCGACGCAGGGCTCCCCAGACCCTCTCTGCCCTGAGTGTCGCCCCCAAGCCCAGGCAGCCCGTGCTGTGCCACAGGACACTGGGCCTACAGCCCCACTCATCTCCTGGCTCTGGCTGGAAACTAAACATACTGTTCTGATGCCAACATCAGAAGCCCAAAGAATTAGGAGTAAACTACCAAGATGCAGCTGAGTGTGGTGGCTCACGCCTGTAATCCTAGCACTCTGGGAGGATCACTCAAGGTCAGGAGTTTGAAACCAGCCTGACCAAGAGTGAGACCCCCGTCTCTACTGAAAAATAGAAAGCAATTAATTGGCCAACTAAAAATATATAGAAAAAATTAGCCAGGCATGGTGGCGCATGCCTGTAGTCCCAGCTACTCGGGAGGCTGAGGCAGGAGGATTGCTTGAGCTCAGGAGGATTGGTTGCTGTGAGCTAGGCTGATGCCACGGCACTCACTCTAGCAACAGAGTGAGACTCGTCTCAAAAAAAAAAAAAAAAAAAAAAAAAAACCAAGATGCCTTGGGAGTTAAAGGAAGTTCTAGAAAACATTGTGTCAAAATCTAAGTAAAATTTTGTAAACTAAAATAAAATGTTATGGCTCCCCCTCACCGCTGAATGAAGTGACCCCCCTCTTGGCCAAACGGATATCCAAAAGCTAAACTGCCTGCAGGAGGAGGGAGGTCAGACATGGCTCACCATGCCCCCCTCCCTTCTTGGAGACATCCTCTGTAAACCATTAACAGGCCTAAAACAAACCGTAGTCGGTCTTCAATTTACACAACTAATCTATGTCTGGTGGCTTGTCTCTAAGAGACCTCCTTATCTTAAAACATTCCAGGCCTTTAGACATAGCTTCATTTTTTTTTTTACCAATTACAAGTCAAAGAATCTTTAAACCCACCTATAACCTGAGTAACCCCTAAGCCCCGCACTTCGGGATGATCCACCTATTCAGGCCAAACCAATGTATATGTCTCCCACGTGTTGATTTATGACTTTACCTGTAACCCTTGACCCCTTAAATGCACAAAACCAAACTGTAACCCAGCCACAGCGAGTCACATGCTCAAGGCTTCTTGGGCGTGGCTCCAGGTCACGGTCCTTAAATCTGGCTCAGAATAAATCTCTTTAAAATTATTGTACAGAGTTTGGCTTCTTTTCCGTTGACAATTTATATTGCATTTGAAAGCATTTGGCACATTCCTATAAGATCCCTGGGGCCAGTCGTGTGCTCCTGCGGGAGGCAGAGGGGGTCTTCACAAAGCACGAGGGTGTACAGGCGGGTGGCCTCTCTGGCCACGGGTGGCTCACAGAGGTGCTTAAAGGGCGTGGCCTGGCACAGTCTCTCAGGGTTCAGAAGGAAAATCGGTTATTCCCAGTAAGGACATTTTTCAGCTTGCAGGTGAAGGCCCAGGAGGCAGAAGGGCTGACAGAGAAAGCCGAGGCTGGCGGCTGAGCAGCTGGTCTGAGGGGGCTGAGTGCTGGCAGGGTCCCTCCTGGCGATGGGATGGTGACAGGGATTGCTGAGAATGGCAGGGGCCTCTGCAGCCCGGCCTTGGCGTAGGTCAGTGCAGGTGGGCGGGCGTTCCTTGGGTTTGTGTCTCTGGTTGAAACCTCAGAGTAGGGTGGAGGGGCGGGTCTCTGGGCAGGTGTGGCAGTGGGGCCCTGGGGACTGGGAGGAGCCCCCTGCATGCTCCCTCGCTGAGACCTGGGACTCTCTCGGGGGTTCTCAGGAGAAGCTGCAGGTCCATCAGCTTTCAGTGGGGGGTAGGTGATTTCTCCAGTTACCTCATTTGCCCAGAAAAACATATCTAGAGGTTTCTTCCGCTGTTCAAAATGACTCGTAGACATATCTAAAGGGGAGAAAAGTGAGACAACACTGGTGCAGCCTGGGCTGGAGGGTCGAAGGGAGCCAGGGCCTGGGCTGCCATAAACCTCTACCTGCACCTGCGCCTCACCTAGCAGGGGACTTGAGCAGAGCGTCCTCCTGACGCTCCTGAAACCTTCCCAGGACGATGGGCAGCCCTAACTGGAGGCACCAGATAGAGTCTAGGGTCTTTTGTGTTTTTTTTCAATTGTCTTTTTTTTGAGACAGAGTCTCACTCTGTTGCCTAGGCTAGAGTGAGTGCCGTGGTGTCAGCCTAGCTCACAGCAACCCCAAAACTCCTTGGGCTCAAAGCATATCCTCCTGCCCAGCCTCCCAAGTAAGCTGGGAACACAGGCCATCACCACCAGCCGGCCTAATTTTTTCTATTTTTAGTTGGTTTGCTAATTTGCTTTCTATTTATACGTTAGCAGACGGGTCTCTTCTCAGGCTGTTCTGAACCCTGAGCTCAAGCAATCCTCTCGCCTCGGCCTCCCCCAGAGTGCTAGGATCAATTGTCTTTCCCCAAGTTTTTAGTCTTAACCAAGTGTACTAGAGATAGTTTACATCCTGCCCTAGCTCAGATGTGTGTGTGCGTGTATACCAATGGAATGTAAACAGTTATGTGCAGTAGTCTCTGATACTTTTTGTTCTTTTCTATGCAATTAAATTCTATATTCCTTAAGAAAAAGCTGGTTACTGGCCGGGCATTGTGGCTCATACCTGTAATCTCAGCACTTTGGGAGACCAAGGCAGGAGGACTGCTTGAGGCCAGGAGTTCAAGGCCACCTGAAGCAAAATAAGAATCGCCATCTCATACAAAGATAAAAATAGTCAAGTGTGGTGCACACACTGTAGCCCAGCAAACCTTGGAGTTGAGAGGGGAGGATCATTTGAGCCCCAGATTGGAGGTAACAGTAGCTTCTGATGATGCCAGCTGCACTCCCGGGCAGCCATGCAACACAGTGAGACCCTATTCCAAACAAAAAAATAAAAATGTAAAGAAAACTGTGGTACGCACTCTAAACTCATTACTAGAAAATAAAAAAAATAAAAAAAAATAAAAAAAAAACAGATTTTAAGGTTCACTAAAAGAAAAAAAAATAAAAAAAAATAAATAAATACCATTTACTAGAAAAGCAGCACTGATTAATGAACGATAGCTTAAAAAACACTGTCCTAGATGAAGAGGATAGAGAGTGCTTTTCTTCTCTTTTTTATTTGTTTGTTTTGTTTTTGGTCCGAACAGAGTCTCACTTTTGCCCAGGCTAAGAGTGATGGTGCATCAGCTAGCTCACAGCAACCTCAAACTCTGGGCTCAAGCAGTCTCTGCTCAGCCTCCCCGAGTAGCTGGGACTACAGCATCGCGCCACCATGCCGGCTAATTTTTCTATATATTAGTGGCCAATTAATTTCTTTGTATTATAGTAGAACGAGACAGGTTCAGTCTTGCCCAGGCTGGTTCGACTCCTGACCTTGAGCAATCCACCGCCGGGGCTCCCAGAGTGCTAGAATTACAGGTGAGCCACCGCGCCCGACTAACTTATTTATTTTTTTATCTGTTTTGAGACACAGTCTCACTTTGTTGGCCCAGGCTAAGTGAGGCTGTGGCATCAGCCTAGCTCACAGCAACCCTCAACCTCCTGGGCTCAACAATCCCTTCTGCCAAGCCTCCTGAGTAGCTGGGACTACAGGCATGTGCCACCATCAGCTAGCTCATTTTCTATATATTTTAGTTAACTAATTATTTTTTCTATTTTAGGTAGAGACAGGCTCACTCTTGCTCAGGCTGGTCTCGAACTCCTGACCTTGAGCGATCCTCTCACCTCAGCCTCCCAGAGTGCTGGATTACAGGCGTGAGCCAGCACCCCTGGTGCTGTTTCTTATATAATACAAAAAAATCACTCTTGCATATTTTACAGAAGCGTGACCGTGTCTGATCAGCAGAATGGTGCCCCAAAGATGTCCATGCCCTAATCCTTGGAACCTGTGAGTGTGTTTCACTCTGTGGCAAAAGGGACTTTGCAGACGTAATTAAAATTACCTTAAATAGGAGATCCTGGATTATCCATGGCCGATCAATCAAACCTGAAAAAGCAGAGAGCTCTTCTGAACAGGGATCAGAGAGACGCAGCAGCAGAATGAGTGGGAGAAGACCCGAAGCCTGACAGACGCCCTCGCTTGACGATGGAAGGAGGTAGGTGGAAACCGTGTCAGAAAAACCAATGAGCCTGGAAATGGATTTCCCCAGAGCCCTATAAGAGCCCGAAGTAGACAAGACTGCTGTTGGTCTTGTGGACCCTAAGCCCAGCGCTGCGCTGAGCTCGCACAGAACTCCAGGACATGCAGCGGTAAGAGACATTAAATGGCGTGTTGAGCCGGGGGCCGTGGCTCACGTCTGAAACTAGCATCTGGGAGCCGAAGCGGGATCGGCCCAAGGTCGGAGTTCGAACCGAAGCCTGGCAAGAGCGAGACCCCATCTCCTACTATAATAAAAGAAATGATTGGGCCACTAAAAGATATAGAAAACAATTAGCCCGGCATGGTGGCGCATGCCTGTAGATCCCAGCTACTCGGGAGGCTGAGGCAGCGATTCGCTTGAA